GTACACTTGAAACTTATATAGTTTTATAATGCAATGTTACCTTAATAAAAATATTTTCCATGTGTTACCTGAAGCAGATAACATAAATGTAGATGTTCCATTCTTGGCCCTTTCTAAGTACCTCAAATTGCATATGAAGATGTAGGGTCACATTACAAATAGATTGTACTAAAATAGAAATTACTCTCTTGGGCCTCCCCTGGTCGTGCAGCAGTTGAGCGCTGGGCTGCGAAGCTGCTCACAGCCTCTGCAGCGCTGGTTCGATCCCCAGTCACAGGCGAGGATCCCACATGGCGCACAGACCTCTCCTGCCGCCTGCTGCTCCCCTCAGCAGTGTATTTTGTTGGTCTGCCTGTTCTGTTCCCCGCTCTGGCTCTGGTGAATTCTCTCACCCTCCTGCACTTCTGACTGTACCCAATGCTTGTATAAATAAATAAATCTTTTTTAAAAAGAAATTACTCTTTCCCTTGCTAACAATAATAGAGCTCTCATGATAAAATCAATTCTGCTTTGTGCATGAGGAAATTATTTTCCCCACTTTCTCTTCAGCTGACTTTAATGGATTTTGTAAAGTGCAATTAATGAATAGTTCAGTGCAGTGCAACTTTTTTGATTTTAATGATTTTTTCCCTATGTATTCCAGTTACTTTATATCCACATACAGTTAGTAGATGTGATTGCTTATTACTCTGTTTTATGATTTATGTGACTGCAACATCTTCTGAACTATTGAGTTTTTTGAAAAGCTTTCTTCTATTGTGAGAGGATATATTGATATATTTATATTTAACATAACAATAGACCTTATATAAGCTTCAAAGTTCTTAGATAATTCTTAACTGGGATTATTCATACTTTTCCCAATTCTGTCACTTTCTAGGATCATTAAACCTCAGTGGATTTTGAGGCACATGAATACTTGATATGACTATTTGTGCTTGGTAATAGAGGCTTATCAGGCATGTTCTTATATCACGAGGATTATTGTTATGGGTTTTGGATTATGCCCTTTGCCCTTGCCTTTTAAATTTTTTTTGTGACAGTGCTGTCAACTTGTTAGTAGTTATTGCAGATATTTCTGAGCTGGCAAACTGTCATGAAACATCTTATTTTCCACAGGCCATAGAGTTGAACAATTAAAAGCACAGGTTGTGCACTCAGGTTACATGGGTTCAAGTCTCATGTAGTAGTTTAAACCAACATTTACTGATGGTTAAGCCGATTACTTAACTTTTCCTTCCAGTGATATCTATCTGTCTAACAAAGATGACTTTCAACCTTACAGATTTAAAGATTAAGAGAGAATGTGTCAATACCTAAGAGTGGAATTGCTGGATCATATGGAAGCTCTATTTTTAGCAGATTGAGGAAACTCCACACAGCTTTCCACAGTGGTTGCACCAGTTTTCACTCCCACCAGAAGTGTAGTAGAGTTCCTTATTCTTCATATCCTCACCAACATTTGTTGTTGCTAGTTTTTTTTTAAATAGGTGCATACATTGTACAAAAATGAAAAATGATGTAAAAATATATAAAATAAAAAAGAGAGAATGTGATATGCTGTACACTATGGCAAGCACATAGGGTGCACTCAATAAATTAAGTTTACCATCATAATGATGTTTAACTTTGGCAAAAAAAAATGTATATATGAGTCTAAGGGTTTGGAATCTAGTATATCTAGCAGAGACTTCTACCAAACTGTCTCAAAGGTCATAGCTCTCATCTTTGGGGAGGTTTAAAGTAGTCTCCAATTTAAGAATCCAGAGCTTGGAAGCTTAAGAAAAAAAGAAGAGATCATAGAACTTGTATTTTTATAATGCCAGGCTTTCTAGGTAGTTGAGTATCCCTGGAGGGCTGGCATGAAAATAGGGAGGAGAGAAATAGTATCTCAAGTGAACAGCAAGAAGCAGTTGAGGGGTGGTATCCTGGAGGGGTGGTTTTAAAGTGTAGATTCTTTTGTCCAGTTATATTCCAAGTCACACTAAGAGTTGAAAATCCACTGGTATTGCAAAATCAGATTGATCTGGGTTCAAATCCCTACTTTACCACTTAATAACTATATCCAGGACTTCTCTTCATCTCATGTATCACTTCCAACACTCTCCTTTATTTTCTCCTTGTTGTATAACCTTCACAAACTTCACAAATTCACTTATTTAGTTGTGTAAGCAGCCATCTTTTTCTGAACCATTGACGTGTTATTGCTAGACTTTTTCTTATCAAACTTGTATAGTTTGTAAATGACAACTATATTTTATTTGTTTATTTCTGATTCTCAATCGTTGGTCCTAATATGGCTCTCAGTTCTTCTTTCCAGTTTCTGTGTGGTTTTAGTTATTAGCCTGACCAATCAGATGCTGAGTGTTATTCATATTTGTATTTGTTTACCCAATTTACAGCCTTTATAGCAAACTTAACTCAAGGACATAGACTCAAATACAAAATTTCAATTTTAAAAGCTAGAGATTCTGTGATCATCAAACATTTTCTTGTACTCCACTGCTGATATTGTCCACACATTACTTAATAGAAAAGAACACATGTGCTGGGTATGGAGGAGATGAACCCAAAGGTTGTATTTGAATTAAATTTCAAAAAAATGAGTTTTGACCATCAGAGATGAAGGGAAAGAGTATCCATGAGAAATAGTTTTGATCTGGGTCATTTTGACAGGTGTGAGTTGTCTTCTTTGGAGAGGTGTGTGTTTAGTTCTTTGGCCCATTTTTGATTGGGTTGTTTCGTTTCTGTAGAGTTTTATGAGTTCCTTGTATATTTTTGATTTTAGTCCTTTGTTGGAAGCATGGTGTGGAAACACTTTCTCCCATTCGGTAGGGTGTCTTTTCATAGATTTCCCACAAAAGTGCTCTTAGTCTTCTGCCATAGTCCATTGTGCTTTTCCCCTCCCCATTCTCATCTTTACCCCTCTCCAACTCTCTCCTCCTCCCTTCTTGGATGCCTCAGATCTACTATCAGTTTCCAAGGATAGATTTTATAGTTCGTCTTTGTCAAACTAAACTGTGTTTGGTTTCTCTATATTCCCAGGTATTTAATTTTTTTTTTTTGTTTGCTTGTTTTGGTGAGACTGTAAGTGGGATGGCTTTCTTAATTTATTTTTCTTTAAGTTCATTGTTTGCATATAGTTTTTCCTTGGAGTCTTTATGATTCTTTATGTATATTACATCATATGCAAATAATGATAACTGTACTTCTTCCCAAATTTTTCATGTTAGTGAGGGTCTGCTATGGTGGGCCCACCCTCAGACTGCTTCCTGGAGTTCACTGTGGCTACACATATGACTGTGTCTGTTTGAGCAAGTCTTCTCTAACACCCCTTTATGAAGATTGCCAAAGTTGTGCCAATGTTGCTGGGGCACTTGCTGTGTAGGTCTGCTTTCAAGCCCCTTTTAGGAGCTTTCCAGCTGCAATGATGTTGGGGAGATGTCTGTTAGGAGTTCCACACTCATGCTTGTTCAGGGAGTCTGCTGAGGCTACCCTTATGTCTGTGGGGCATCCCCTAGGGATAGCTCAAACCTTGAACTTTTTCAGGGAACTTACATCAGTGGGGTATATGCTGGGGGTGGCTCCCCCTCCACTTCATGCTCACTAATGGAGTTTACTAAAGCCATGTTGGTGTCTGCCAATTACTGCTTCTAGATCCCGTTGTGCAGCTCACCCTAGTGAAGGGTGCTGTGCCTGGCCTTTTCTAGTTCTATTCTGCTCCTTTACTGCTGCTCACACTTGTCCCTCTCTTCTAGATACTGTTCCTAGTGCTTGCTGTTGTCATCTGTCTTACTTTCATGTGCTTTTTGTCTTTGTTTTGTTGCAATCTAGCTGGGAGTATGCCTCTTCTTTTTTTATTTAAAAGGTCAATTTTTATTTTCTGTTTTATATCATATTTCAGGTTATTTGTTTTTCTGAATTTTATTCTTTCTCTTGGATTAAATTTTTGAGTTCTCTTGTGTTATTTTAACTTTTTTTGGTGTTTTCTTCCAGTTCTGATTTTCTTTATTATGGCAATTTTGAGATCTTTATTTCATAGGCAGATAAAATCTTTCATGTCTTTGTGGTTAGATTCTAGAGAGTTCTCTCTTTGTCATATTCCTTTGTGGTTTCAGGTGCCATGTGTTGTATTTTTTTTTTAAATCTGCCCATTTTGCTGCTTTAGATGTCATTATTTCTTTAATGTGAAGTGGTAAATTTAGATAGTTGAAATACTTATATTTTTTCTAGCACGTGTTGCCATGGTTTTATTTGTTTTTAGCTTTTTGACTTTTTTTTTGCTTCTGTAGGTTCTGAGACCTAATCCTGCAGTTGCTGAATCAGGGGGTGGGAGAGCACTTTGGAGGCATTCAGCCACTCAATTGAATGTTCTGTGAGGGAGAGGACTGATTTGTTTGTGACAGTGCCAATGTCCCTTCTCTCTGGGGTTCCAGATCTGGCATTCTGCAGTCTTTGTATGGTTAGTATACTCCATGAGGCCAGTACTAGTCTGAAAGGGTGTGCCAGAGCACTGTATTTGTCCTTCTTACTGTGAACCTGGCCTGGGTGGGTGGGGAGGGCACCACAGCTCCTCCACATGTTTCCTTCCAATCAGGTTTGTGTGCTTCCATGGCATTTAACTCTCCCCTTCACAAGGCTCCTTGCTGAGATGACAGGCACATATGGATGTATTCTCCTACCCTGAACAAAGTTTCCAGTAGTTTCTTTCCACCTACTTCTTGTTCACTGAAGGTTGACTCTCTTCTCTGTTTTCTCTCTCTTTCCCAGCCTGTGTTGATTTCTGATATTCAAGGGTTTTGCCCTAAGTCATGGGACTCTCTGCGTGTAATATCCCTCTGATTAACTGTTAGATTATCTTGATAACAAAGCAAGGAACCTCCTCTGTCACTCTCTCAGCCTAAGTTCATTTACAAAAACTGTGTTTAGTTGAATCTGAAAAGTAAAGGCAACACAAGTTATTTGTTCAACAATATGTTGTCTTGTCCTTTGGGTCCCAGATTAAGAAGAAACAGCAAGATGTGCTTGGTTTCTTAGAAGCTAACAAAATAGGATTTGAAGAAAAAGATATTGCAGCCAATGAAGAGAATAGGAAGTGGATGAGAGAAAATGTGCCTGAAAACAGTCGTCCAGCCACTGGGTACCCACTGCCGCCTCAGATTTTCAATGAAAGCCAGTACCGTGGGGTAAGGAAATAACTTACATTCTTTTTTTGAGGTAGATTACCCGAAATCCATCTTATCCAGATCCTCCCCCCTTTTATGCCCACCCCAAAGTCTGCATGCAGTTATTTCTCATGTTCATCTTCATTATCCATTCTGGGCAACCTGGGATATTTTGTCTGCTACTTGGAGGTAAATGGATGCATCTTTCACCAGAAATTTACTTTGGACATATACAGACCTCGGTCATGTAGTTGGTTTTACATTTCTTCACCTTAATTCCTGCCAGAGCAATTGTATTATTTTAGACTTTTTCATGAAGAATCCTCTGAATAAAATTCAGCCTCTTTGCTTATTTAGATTAAAATTAGGTTTAAAAGAGGAAAATTTTATTTTTTGCATGAAACTAGTAATACTTATATTTTCATATCATACAATCTTCTTAAAATTTGAAGATAGTTAATTGCCCTTATATATGGAATGAGGGAAACGGAAACAGCTTTTGCTTTGTGATTGGTGGTTTCAATTATGACATCTTGCCTGGTCTTCATTTATACCATGCAGTAGTTTCCTTTGTTTTCCATTCACTATACATTTAAGTAACATCTGTAGCCTATGGCCATTCTAGGCACTATGGCCATACAAGATCAGTAAAACAGTCTTTTCTCTTAAAGGAGCTGGGTAAGAGCAGGGGGTGGGAAAAATCATATACACCTGAAACAATCAAAGTGGTTATGACCACATCTATGTGATACACGTACGTAAGAGCTATCAGAATTTCCAATAAATAATTGTTTGCATTATTTTGGCACGAGAGTTAGCATGGCCGAGGAACAAATGATTTTAGAATGCACAATCCACATCTTCTAGCTCATAGTTTTCTATGGGAAGGATAAGGACACTCTTTGGTGTCCTTGTTTAGCAAGGTCACATGCTCCTCTCGCTATCTGTTAATTCCCTTAACTATCCATTACAGATTTTATTTTTTTAATATTTATTTGTTTATGCATACAAGAAATGGGTTGTAATCCAGAGGTGCGGGGATGGTGTGAGGATTCAGCGGAGAGAGGGGAGCAGAAACAGGCACATCTACTGAAATATACTGCTGGGGAGAGCAGCGGGAGAGGCAGGAGAGGTATGCTGCACCATGTGGGTCACCTCCCTGGCTAGCCAGGGAATTGAACTGGTGCTGCAATGGCTGGTGATAGCTTGATAGCTCGACAGCGCTGTTTTTAACCCCTGTGCCACCAGGGAGGCCCCTTGGTTTGTGTTTTCCTGATGATAAGTGGTGAACATTTTTTCATGTGCCTATTGGCCATCTGCATGTTTTCTTTGGAGAAGTGTCAATTTAGAACTTCTGTCCATTTTTTATTATGTTGTTTTCTTCATTCTTGTTGAGTTGTATGATGTCGTTGTAAATCTTTGATATGAGTACTATGTCAGATATAAGGTATGGAAATACTTCCTCCCGTTCGGTACATTGTCTCTTCATTTTAGTTATGTTTTCTTTCACTGTGCAGAGATTTTTAGTTTGATGTAGTTTCAGATGTTTGTTCTCTTTTGTTTTCCTTGCTGCTAGAGACAAATCTGCAAAAACATCACTGAACCTTATGTAATGAAGTGTTTTGCCTTTGTTTTCTTTTCTGTATTTTATAGTTTCAGATCTTACATACAAGTCTTTTATCTGTTTTGAGTTAATTTTTATGTATTTTGTGAAATGGCCTAATTTCATTCTTTAGCATGTGGCTGTCCAGTTTTCCAAACAACATTTATTGAAGAGGCTTTCCTTGTTCCACTATGTATTCTTATCTCTTTTCACCATAAATATGTGGTTTTACTTCTGGAATCTCAATTCTATTCCAATGGTCTGTGTGTTCTGTTTTGGTAGCATACTATTTTAATTATTATTGCTATATAATACAGTGTGAAGTCTGGAAGTGTGATACCACCATTCTTTTTTTGTTAAGATTGCTTTGGCTATTTGAGTATTTATGTGGTTTCATGTGAATTTCAGTAATATTAGTAAGAATTAAAGTTAGCCTTTATATTGCCTTGGGTAGTATGACAATGTTGATTGTTCCAATTCCAGAGCAGGGGCTATCTTACCTTTTCTTTGTGTCTTCTATTTAACAATGCTTAGTAGTTTTCTTTGCATCAGCCCTGGTTAGGTTTACTCCTAGGTTGGGTTTTTGTTTTTGGTGTGATTGTAAATTGAATCATTTTCTTTATTTCTTCCTCTTGTAGCTCAGTTTTTTTCTTAAAGGATGGCAATTGATTTTTCTGTATTGATTTTGTAACCTGACACTTTGCCAAGCTGGTTTATTGTTCAGTTAGTTTTTCTGTGAAGTCTTTAGGGTTCTCTATGCATGTTATGTCATCTCAAATAATGATAATTTTAGTTTTCTCCTTATTTGGATTCCCTTTTATCTTTCTCTTCCCTAATTGCTCTAGTTAGGACTTTCTTTACTATGTTAAATACAAGTGGTGAGAGTGGACATCCTTGTTTTCTGGCCTGGGTGTGCCCCTGTGTTGATTCTGGATCTTTACCAGGGCTTCTAGGGATAACCACTACCAGGCAAAGCCTCGGTCGCCTGGCTGATGGCTTGTGCCACTGTTCACATGCTAGACTAGAGCTCCAGGATCTAGGGTCCTTTCCAGCAGGACTGGGGTTTGCTGTTACCTGCTGAGGCCTTAGGCCCTTGCCTGGGAGCTTGTACTGCCTACTGCATGCTTGTCCTGGGGTCCTCAGTCCAGGGTCTTTACTAGTGAGACTGAGGGTCACGGGCGCCTGGCAAGGGCTTGGGGCTTTGGCTGGGACTTTGCTATTCATCTTTCTATGTGTGGCTTTTGTGTGTGTGTGCGCGCACACACGTGTGTGTGTGTGCTTGCGTGTCTGTATATGTGTGACATTTAAAATATATATAATTGATTTATTTTAACTGAGGTAATATTGGGATACCCCCATCAGGTATTTACCACCATAGTGCACCCACAACCAACTCACCCATATTATACCAACATAGACCATTGTACTTCCTTCCATCTTTGTTCTCTCTCCTCGCTCCTACTCCCTTCCCCCACTTGGTGGTTCAATTCTATAGTCAGTTATCAAGGGTTAGTTTTTCAGCTTGCCTTTATCTGACTATTAATTTACTTTATATTTCACATATTGGTGACACCACCTGGTATTTATCTATCTCTTGCTGACTTATTTCGCTTAACATTATCCTTTCACGCTCCATCCATGTTGACATCATGACATGAGTTCATATTTTTTGATCATTGAGTACTATTCCATTGTGTATATAAACAAATATTCTTGATCCACTCATCTGTTCCGAGGCAATTAGGTTGTATCAATTCATTTAATGAAAGCATGAGTTCATGCAGTAGATAAACTATTTTTGTTGACCTTATTTTTTCTAAAGTTAACTTGTTTGTACATTTGCATCTTCAATTACAGAGTCATTGTTTCACTTGATCTATTTGATTTCCGTGATTTTCTCCTGAGTTTTTCATCTCCTGTATTTCTCTTTTGAAATCCCAAAGCTCCATTTTTCTTATTTAGAGCTTTATTTTCTGTCTTCAGTTTATTGATTTTATTTCTAAGGACAGTCATTTTCCCTAGTTTTCTTCTATTTATTTGAATTTCTATATAATTTTAATTCTAAAATCTGTATCTGATAGAACATAGTTTCCATGTCTATGACTTGAGGTTCTGGAGATTTGTTTCTGTGTTGCACTATTTGCTTGGGGACTCATTTTGCTATTTGTTGTTTTTGTTTGTTTGTTTGTTTGTTTGTTTGTTTATTTCTGCTTTTTAGCTTTGGAACCCAGCTGCTGTATGTGGGTTTTCCTCTGAGTGTGGCTTCTCCCCTCACTGATCAGGGTTCTCATGTATCTGGGAAAACTACTGGCAGGGCATCCTGGGAGGTTGTGAGGCTTCTGGCCACTCTGGTTCACTCCTTGATGTGGGTCCTGGGTCTCACCAGTCTGTACAGGTGCTAGTAGGGACTTTGTGTGACGTCACAAGGCCTTTGTAGGTCTGAGCAAATGCTGGTGCACTAGAGACCTCTGGTTACTCTGGCACCCTCCCCAAAACATGTGGGAATCACACTGGTCCGTGTGGGCATATGTAGGATCTTGCAGAAGTCATGAGACCTCTGCTAGTATGAGCAGGGGCAGGCAGGGTTTAATGGAAGGTTGCAAAATCTCTGGCCACTCTGGATCCTTCCCAATGGAGGTTTGGAGGCTCACAAGTTTGGGCAGGGGCTGCTGGGTTCTCCCAGAGTGTCACAAGACCTCTTCTTTTTATGTTTTATTTATTTTTTTTATATTATATAATTTTTACATCATTCTTAATATTTTTGTGTTTTAAATCAAGCAAAGAGAAGGTAGTTTTAGACAATGGTTATGTTTCTAAGTGTGTTTCTCTTGATTATTTATATAGTCAAATTTAGGTCATTCTTTTTTTTTTTTTTACAGTTAGAGAATTCTTGGTGCCTTAGAAGAAGACAGTGGGAATCCCAACCTAAGTCAGTCATGTGAGGCTTTTCTTTGATCCCAGGGTTGAAACTTCTTTATTTGCTCTTGTGGTCATATTCCATAAAAGTCCATTCCCTTCCTCCAAACACAACACAGATTCATTTCTTATACGATTTTAAGCATACATAACTGATATTTACTCTATTGTTGGTTCTGAAGATGCTTCTGCCTAAATAAATAAAGAAGAGAAAAAATGAGCTGGAGTAATCAATAGTGTCTTACCAGAAATAAGCAACTTCATACAGGCAATTAGTTGGCTACTTTGGGCTATGGAGAGAGCTGCTTGCCCTGAGGTAGATTTCAGTTCTATGTGATATGAAATAAGCCACTTTACAGTTTTTGCCCTATAGAAAAGTGAGATGCAATAAATCTTACCTCTTTAATACTCTTTCCAATATTTGAACATTATGGAATTTAGTTAGCCTGTTTGCCCTAAAACATTGACCTGTCAGATAATTCAATATAAATTTGCTCTTTTTTTACTTTTGTTGGTTGCATATATCTAATTTTTCTTGCCTTTTTTCCACCAAGGACTATGATGCTTTCTTTGAAGCCAGAGAGAAAATAATGCAGTGTACGCCTTCTTAGGCTTGGCAGCACCACCTGGTTCAAAGGTATGATTGCCTTTTACTTCTGCTTTATAGGCCATTTTATTGCTTGTATATTTTTAATCTGTAAAATTTCCACCTTTATTAAATACTCATGTTAAGCCAGAGGATGAGGAACATAGCTAAAAGGAAATGTTCTTGCTCTTCATGTACTTAATCCTTGGTAGGACAGATAGATATGTGCAAAATCAAATACATAAAATGTGACCAGGGAGTAGGTAAAGTTATTTCACCATCAAACTGCTCAAAGTAGAAAATTTATCATTGACCCATTTCAATGGGTCAATTATTATTCCTGATGTCACGCACAGTTTCTATATCAACAGAAAACATCTTAATTAATAGGAATCTCTGGATAGCATCTATTGTTGAAATGCTAGAGCAAATACTAGAGTTATTGAAATTAACTAAGAACATTTGAGTTTTAAAACTGGTTATTGATTGCTGCTAAAATTTGGGAATTTTCCTCTACCAACAATAAATATTTTTTTTCCCCAAATAGCAGCATTCACAAGGGAGACTACATTTAAAAAAAAGAAAAAGTTAAATTGACCATTTAATGAAGTATCTCAAAGATACGGATTTTAAATAAGATTTTGTGTTTTGTAGTAGGTCTTCTCCACAGAAGCTGGCTTAATTAGAGTGTGTGTCCCCTTCTCTATCATTTTACTTTTTGCTCTTAGCAACTGATTTTATCTTAACAATTCCTTTTCCAGTTTTGAGAATCTGTGTTATTGTTCCTATTTTCTCTAGAGACCATTTACTACTATTGTATGTGAGTCACTGTGAAATTGTGATTCTTTGACAAATATTCTTCTCCCATGGATAAAACATCTTATTTTAGGCTTTGTATAATTTAAATAGCAATAAATATTGATAAGCATGTTTGTTTATACAAGTTAGTAAAACCCAGGTTGTCATTGATTTCAGTGCAGATTAAGGAAGTGTAGTCTGTATTTTTGTGACTATGGCTCCCTATCTTTCAATTAAAAGTAGGAATCATTCATTCATTTATTCTTTCAGTGTATTTATTGTCAAATACTGACTTGACATGATTATGGGAAAATGTAGAGAATACATCATAGTCTCTACCTTCAAAGTGTTTATAACCTAATGAGAGATATGTATACAAATAATTCCATGACAAATATGTGCACCAATAATTATAATTCAACAAATACTTTGATAAATTCTTTATGATTGGTGTGAATAAAGTGCTGAAGGCATTCAGAGTAAATAATAATAAATTACCATTAAAGAGCTTGGGGAAGGTTTTACAAAAGAAGTGGCATTTCAGCTGTTAGGGATTTCAAAGAACTAAAGTGACACTAAGATGTTTATCACAGAGGAGCAACAAGAACCAAAACATGTAGCTCTAAATGATATGTTCAAGATGCAGACTCTAGAATAGGGCATATTAAAGAGGAGGATGCTTTAGGAGTAAGAATGGCAAGGTAGGTTGGGGCCAGGTTATTAATGCTATACTGGGTAATTTCAGCTTTATCCTCTAGCCATCCAAAAACCATGGCTGGGAATGGGGGAAGAGAATGATATGATTATGTCTGTATTTTATGTCTTAAGGAGGTATATTTGACAGTTGTATAGCTTGTGGAACATTGGAAAAATAAGACATTAGAGATAGGCTGACTCATTAGAGGGTTACCTTAAGAGAACAGCTCAGAGTAGAAAATTTATCATAAATTTGCAGAAATTTATAAATTTATAAATTATCAGAAAACAAGTGGAGAGGCCTAAAGTATAAGAAGTTGCAGAAAGGAAAGGATGAATTTAGGTGACATAAAAAACAATATGTAATAGGATTTAGCAATTTATGAGATGCTGGTATATTTAAGTACTGGGAAGGATTAAAGCTATCTCTGGGAGTTCTAAACTGTATGATTGAAAAATGAAGCAAAAGTCATGGAGGAAATATAAAAGTGAATGTTCCAGGAGGAAAGTTCATCTTGGAAATGAGAGGAAATGTGTATTCTGAGTCTGGAGACGAGGAGAGAAACACAAAAATAGAACTTTTTACATGTGGGGTAGTTAGGGGAAAGTTCTACATTATAAGATATTTTTATATTTAGTGTGAGATAAGAAAAAGTCTTTTGCTAGGAGTGATGGGAAATTTGGGACATGAGAACTTAGAGGAGAATTTAAAGGCTTCACTTGTTGAAAATATGCTAAGGATCTCTAATTGAAGGACTCTGAGTACACAGCTGAATTTAGAGTTGATGAGCCCAGAGAGGAACAAGTCAATTTGGATATGTTTTCCGTCATTATTTAAACCTAGGATTAATAATAGAGTAAAAGAACTTCAGATGCTATCAAGGATTGAAAAATATGGAGATGATAGTTTAGGATAACAAGAGGGCTAGAATTGACAATGGAGTTGAGGGGGGTTGGTGATAGATATATTTTTGAATGTATTTATTTTTTTAAGATAAAAAGTGATAAATTTGATAGTAGAATGATGATTTTTTAATCATTCAGCTCAGTTTTCAGTTTCCCCCCTTAAAAAAAAATGAGTCTTTCAGAATAAAAAGCTTAACAAAAGTATAAAAAATAAGAAATAAAACTAGTTAATCCACATTGGAAAAGTACATTAAATATAAAAGAAATGTGACAAAGAAGGACATGATGTTCCATCTATGAAATTAGCAAAGATAAAACAAAGTGATAGTACTCAATGCTGAAACAAGTACATTGAAATGGATGCTCTCATATATTACTACTGATTGTACAGGTTGATACTGCCTTTTGAACACCAGAACAGAAAATATGTATCAGGGACCTCAAAAATGTTTATAGTTTTTCACCCCATCTTTTCACATTCAGTATCATAGCCCAATCGAATAATCTTATGTATGGAATAAGCTTTATGGGTAAAAACATAAATCAAATGTTATTTATAATCCTAAAACTCTGAAAATAATTTAAATATCTAAAAGTAGGCTGAAACAAATTAATTCAATACTGAATGAACTTTATGAATAAAAGTACATGTCATTGTGATATATGTATTCCTGAAACTTTGAAAACAAGTGAAATGTCAAAAAATAAGATTAACAAAAATAGTTTATGTACTGAATGAACTCATAATTTCATTAAAAAATGAGTTTATAAAACCTATGTGTCTGAGAACAGATGAGTGGATCAAGAAGATATGGAATATATACATAATGGAATACTACTCAGTGATTAATAAAGATGAACTCATACATTTATGTCAACATGGATGGTGCTTGAAAGGATGATGTTAAGCAAAATAAGTCAGAAAGAAAAAGATAAATACCAGGTGTCAATAATATGTGGAATATAAAGTAACTAAAGCAATAGTCAGGTAAATACAAGGTGAAAAATTAATCCTTGATACTTGACTACAGAAGTGAAGCACGAAGTGGAGGAAGGGAGTCAGGGAGGGTACAGAACAAAGAGGGAAGGAAGTATGATGGTCTATGTTGGTATAATATGGGTGAGTTAGTTGTGGGTGCACTATGGTGGTAATACCTGATGGGGGAACCCTTTATCACCTCAGTTAAAAATAAATAAATAAATAAATAAATAAATAAATGAGTTTATAAAGTTACATTATAATGGCTGCAGAATTGTTTTTAATATGTAATTAATAGTGTAATTGCATTTGAAAGCTATGCATTGGACAAAAAAAAAAAAGACTGAAAGGAACCGTAACTAATATGTACACTCTCCTCCCTTTCTTTTGCATATAATTAGCACAAATTCTCTTTTCATTTAAAAATTATTGAAAACCATTGCACTGGAGAGCTTGAATTTCAAGAGTAACCTCTGGCCAATATTTCCATAAGCAAGGACTCCTGTGGAAGACAAATGATTTTTATGTTCTTTTGCAAATTGGTTGCATTTAAAACCTATAAATATTTGTTATTTATTGCATTAATGCAAAAGATCATTTTTTATCACCAACATTTCTTATTTCACAGTGGGAGTGATAGTTTTGGGATATTAAATAATATAATGGATTTATTTTTACTAAAAATTAAAACTTTGGTGATGTTCATGTTGAGAGGAAATCCATTCCCCTTAAAAGTGGTATTCAGTAATATTTCAAGGGAATAGAGGATGCTGGTTAGAGGAGTGCTCAAATTAGCTTTGATTGAACATCCCTGCTTTAGGGAGGGACCATGGATTACAATGCCTTTGCTGTGAGACTTGAAGCAAATTTATTCCATTCGGCATATCCTATTTTACTGCACCTCAAAGAGAAACCATTTGCCAATAACATGTAACTGTGAAGCTGGTCTTAGTTACTAGGCAAAAAGTGAAGAGGAGAAAAGCAGGAAAGAAGGATGGATGCAGACAAAGGGCCAAACTCTTCACATACCTTATTTTCTCTCTCTATGATCCTTATGAACTAGGTGTCATCAGTGTCATTTTACAGAGGAGGATAGTCAAATTTAAGTAATTTGTTTAAGGCTTCATAATAATTCAGTAGTTGAGCTGGAATTTGAATCTGTGTTTATCTCCATCAAAGCCAATACATCTGTGTATAAATATTGGGAGTAGCAAGGGCAAGCGCCTTATATGTTTGTATCTAAACCTCTATATCTTATTAGATAACTCAGGAGTCTATAAATACTAGACACTCTTTTAGGTAAAGTAAATGTTTAACACAATTTGCATATTTGATGAATAAAAAATTACAAAAAAGTAAATTTACCTTAAATATGATGTTTTATAAAAACATAAAGAATTTTGAATTTTGTTTTGGATGTCTACGCTGTAATTCCATTTAAAAGGGTAACAAAGCTAAATAATTTATGACAAATTACAGCAAACTGAAAAGATAGGACTTTAGGGGGCTTCTCTGGTGGTGCAAGGGATTAAGATGCAATCTGTGAAGCTATATGCAACCACTGCAACACAAGTTTGATCCCCAGCCAGGGAACTACCCACATGGTACAGCAGACCTGTCCTGACACGCTGATGCTCCTCTCAGTAGTGCATTTCAGTAGATATGCCTGTACTGCTCCCCCCTCTGTCTCTGGTGAATTCTCTCAACCCCCACACCTCTGGCCTGTACCCCAGTTCTTGTATGCATAAATAAATATCTTTAAAAAAATGATACTTTAGGGAACTAGGATATTTTCCAAATACTAGTTACTCAGAGGCATTAAGTGTTCTTAATAAGAACTTCATATTAGCGTGCCTCCGTGGTGGGGCAGGCGGTTAAGCGTCGCGCTGTGAAGCTATCCGCAGCCTCTGCAGCGCCAGTTCTATCCCGGCCAGCTGGCGAGGGTCCCACATGGCGCAGCAGATCTCTCCTGCCTTGCCCACTACTCCCCTCAGCAGTGCATTTTGTCAGTCTGCCTGTTCTGTTCCCTGCTCTGTCTCTGGTGAATCCTCTCACCCTCCCACACATCTGGCCTGTACCCGGTTCTTATATAAAATAAATAAATAAATCTGAAATAAAAAAGAACTTCACATTAGAACATACTCAATTTTTACACTGCTTCCTCATCTATATATGGGGAAGGCTTCTATGCTGGGCTTTTGAGATGTCTTAGTATAAAATTCATTTTATTGTATGAAGATATTATTGGAAGCTTATTCTTTAAAATGATAGCCAAACACAATGTTAGAAGTTTCAAGACTTTAGGAACATATTTTTTTTTTTTTTTTTGTGGGACCCTCGCCGGTGGCCGGGGATCTAACTGGCACTGCAGAGGCTGCGGGCAGCTTCGCAACCCAGTGCTCAACCGCTGCGCCTCCAGGGGAGGCCCTGAACATTGTTTTTTGACTAGCAGTTCTGGAAGGTGAGTCAGTAGTGTGTTGCATCTGTTTTGTTAAGGATGTATTAGGAATGAATAACAGTGTCTTCCTTGGTTTCCTTCTTTCCTTTATTTCTGTCTTTTTCTTGGTTAAAAAAAAAAACATCATTTTTTGCTTTTTATGCTTCTTTTGATTTTGATATCAGAGGCTCATTTTGGAAATTCAGCTATCCCCACTTTTCCTGAGACTTATTCAATTAGTGACAGGCATTTAGAATGATGTTTTCTGACATTTATGATTTCTACAACTCAAGTTGGAAGTTTCTTTCACCAGTGACTCTATGCACTAATCTTTAGTTCCATGAACCAGAAGAGAAGAAAGAAAACCTGACTTCTTTTTGTGCCTACTGCCATGAAACTTCAAAGCAACATTTTAGCAAATAAAACATTTTCTAAATGGTTTACACTTTAGACAAACTCAACAATCTGTAAACTTCAGGTAATATTCTTTTTCTTCTTTTTTTTAAAAAAATATTTATTTATTTTATGCATACAAGAACTGGGGTACAGGCCAGAGGTGTGGGGGGTGAGAGGATTCACCAGAGACAGACTGGGGAATAGAACAGACAGATTGACTGAAATACATTGGTGAGAGGAGCAGCGGGCGAGTCAGGAGAGGTCTGCTGTGCCATGTGGGTCACCTCCCTGGCTGGGGATTGAACTCAAGCTGCAGTGGCTGTGGGTGGCTTCATAGTGCTGACACTCAACCTCTTGTACCACCAGGGAGGCCCTAGGTAGTGTTTTAGAATGTTTTTGTGAAAAATTGCACAAAGAGGAAATAAACTGTTAAAATATCAACTATATTTGTAAATAACTTGCTTTTATGGAATTATTTAAAAAATGTAATAATGATTAAGCAGTCTTCTATTGCATCTGTTTCTAGGCAAGAGTTCTTACATTAATAATTTTTAAGTAGTCTTTTGTGGGGACAATTTTATTGCTATAAAATATTTCTAGTAATTTGAGCTAATATGGTGTAACCAGGTATACATGGATGTTTGTTTTGTGATATTTAAACTATCTGTCTTGTTTGTTTTTCATTTCAGGAAGCAGAAGCCCAGGCAAAGCAGCAAGCATGAACCTTAAACAATCTGTCTTACGTATCCTGAAAAAGGAGTCTTCATTACTTTCATAAACAAAATTATCTTGGCTTCAAAAGATATAGGTCCAATGCTGAAATAGTAGATAAGTTGGCATTTTCACGTGCAATCATTCATAATGAATATACCATTAAAATGTTATTATGATGAGGACTGGTAGATGAACAAAATTTTTAAGTACACATCATGAAATAATATTATCTGCAAAGGCATTTTGTGTATTTTAAAGAGCAAACACCTGTCCACTATTTTTTTTTGCATTATTATTGCAGCTTAGCTTTATCTGTAGCTATATGTTGAGGAATTTAAAAAGGGGAGAAAGAATTTGTCTCTTGTTGCCAAATTGTCTCCTTAATTTTAGTGAACAAGTTATGTACCTTTTAGATGTGGTATTATTCTGATTAAAAAGTAGTTGCAGGTAATGTTTATGACATGTCAAACATTGTCATTTCCCATTCTTTTGTAGTTGACATTTATATGTATTGAACCCCAGGTTTTCCAGGCTTCTAAGTGTATTGATAGCTTTTCATTGTACATTTCATTGATTGAAACAGAGGAACACAGACACTCACAGAAACAATAGATTCAGTCAGTTGACATGTTCTTTGCTTAACTACACATCTGTGATGGAATCATACTTCTAAGTTGCTTGCCCCACTGAAATATGTTTAAGTATGTTATAAAGATATAAAATGGCATCTTTTTGCAAAGACATGAAACTTAATTAACTATAATATGTTGGCATTAATTAATTAATTGTCCAAGATTGGTTTTCATAGGGTCTTATTTTTTTCTTTTTTGAGGTAACATTGGTTTACAATATTGTGCATAATTTAGGGTTATAAGTTCACACCTCTTTAGGTGTATGTTACCACACCATGCCCACCACCAAAGCATCAATAATCTCTTACCATAGGCCACTGGATCCTCTTCCCACTTATCTCCCTACCTCAACCTCTGCTTTTAGTAGCCTCAATTCTGCAGTCATGTTACTAGAATTTTTTTTCATTTGCTTTTGTTTTTTTCTCTGTCTATTTCTCTATATTCCAAATACAAGTGAAATCACCTGGTATTTGTTTTTCACCTTCTGTCTTATTTTGTTTTGCATAATCCCCTCCAGTTCATCATACTGTTACAAATGACAAGATTTCAGTTTTTGTTTTTTATAGCTGAGTGGTATTCTGTTGTATACTATATCTTCTTTATCCACTCATGTGTCATTTAACACTTTGCTTAAAACAGTCTTAGTGTTTCTCCCATTTTAAAACAACTTGTGATCACAAATGTCACTTTCCCTCAGATATTTGAACTTTTTGGTTAAGTCCAGCATATGTTGTCAGTCTACATTAAGATAAAATATTTTTTCTATGCCTCTATTCCAGTGCACAAGTATCAGATAAAAGGGACCATTTTTAAAATGTTAATTTGATGTCATCTAAGAAGACAAGAAACATTATGAACTAAGTCACTTACCAATAAGATGCACATATTGTATGTTAGTTCCACATTAGTTCATTACTAAGACTAAACACCTTTTACTTTAAATTGCTTTATTGTATCATTTGATGTATGCAAGTCTGTCCTCTGCCAAAATCAACATCTAGTGAAAACATGACTGTGTTTATTGAGAATCCAATTTGTGATGCTTTAAAATAAACTTTAAAAATAAACGCTGCACTTTTATAAAACATAGTTTATGTGTCCTGGAGTTTGTAAATAATTGGAATTTTTAATATGTAACATTTTTTAGAGGGTGGGGAAACAGAAAATGATAGAAAACAACTTTAATATAGTTTATAAATTTCCTTTTTAGGGTCCTGCATTTTGCAATATATACTAGAGTCAACACAGAACTATTTTGTAGTTTGAGTACAATGTATGATGTAGATAACTCTATAGATAACATTTTGCTTTAGTAATGAAAGGTTTGGCGCAGTAAAGAAAAGGAGAGCCAGGCTACATTTCTCAAAGGGAGGGAAAGTTTATTGCGCC